CCAGGATGAACTCCATCACGTTCATCCTCTGATTCAGAGCCTGTCCTAAGAAACAAATTCCCTCCATGCTCCCCCTTATCTTGCTCCCCCACTCTTACTCTCCTCTCATCTCCTCCTGTCACCAGTCCCTCCTCATCTTCTTACTGTCACCTGAAAACTGGTGATCTTCCTTGTACTAGCTCACTTGATCCTTCCCTCGGTGGTGCCCTCCTTTTGTACCAGGCCCCGCTTCCTAGTATCAATGCGGTTTATGCACAATGGAGTTTTTGCCCCTTTTACCACGAAGAGGCGGTGGGAGAAGGGCTGCACCAGTGGCCGACACGGACTCTGAGCTGGCTGAAGTCTCTGTAGTGGGGGAAGAGGAAAGATGGGGCATCCGTCAGGAGCCATCAGCTTCCCCATCCAATCCAGATCCCACTGTTCCGCAACCAAAGCTGTCAGGAAGCATCTTTACTCTTAGACTGGGAACACCGACCCTCTTTTCCTTCTGCTTTGGCACTGACAGTGCCCAGAAAAGCAGCCTGGGGCTGGGTCACCTGGATGAACCAAGCAGGCCTAGCATGCTAACAGAGACATACTTTCCAGAGGCCTTTTGACTCTTGCATAGTTACGTATTCCTGAATGCCCATTAAGCGGTGTGAGGCCCTTGTTTTGGAGTAGATTTAATCTTCTACCCGTACCTGCTAGTCTGCCCTCTTTTGCTATTGATGGCCCACAAGTTTTCAGTTAGCTGGGCTCTAAGAACAGTGATTTAGGCTGTGAGTTCCCCTCACACCTCTTCTCCCCTTCTCTAGACCATCTTGCATGGAAATGGCAGTTCCAGACAGATGGAGAGCTTTACTCCGTTTACTGCAAGGACGCACAGAAGAGCAAAAATAGAAAGATGGGAAACCCTCAGGACGCCTATGGCCTTCCTTAATGCACCTTTATCCCATTTCCCATGCCTGCTCTGCACACATGGTGCCTGCAGACAATGGCTTGGGAAGGATGGACTGCCTCCTCCAGCAAGAGCCTGTGTGGGATACTGGTTAGCCAAAAGCATCATGAGCTTCCCATCACCTGCCCAGGGGTGGCTGGTGAAGTATAGCCCCTTAGATACTATCTTCTCCTGTCCAAGGCCTGGGAGAGGCAGATAGGAAGAAGACTGTCTTCTGGCCAATTGGTAAGAAACTGTATCTTTCTAAGAGGGCTGGTGACAGCCCAGCTAGTTATGCACAAGCAGTTTTTAGCTTTGGGGTTAGAGCTGGCTTCAGAAGCAGCCTGCGATTTGCAATAAGAAATGAGATGTGCTCGGGGAGAGCGGTGAGCAGAGATCCACGCAGTGCAAACTGCCTTCCTGCTTTGCGGGGCATTTGAGACAAAGGAAGAACAAACAAGACTTCTTCTGGCCTTGCCAACTGCCATGAGCATCCCAGCACAAGTGCGGGCACACATCAAGGCCTGATCCTTCTGTGAAACCGCTGCCTTCAGAGACAAAACCAACACGTCTGGGTCAACTTGGCCTTCACCAGAACAAAAGAGACAAAGCGAGGAAACGCACACACATACCAAATGCCGTTTCCTCTTCAGAAACAAAGATGTAGGTTAAACCACTCATGCTATCATCAAGAGTAACACGCTGTGGAGATCAGCAACTTCTTGCCACTGCGCATCAGGGACTACCCAGTGAAGGGTATGCAGAGACTAACACCAGCATGACTAGCACGGGAACACAGCGACTTAAGTCAGGCCCAAAACATGGGTTTAATAAAGGTCTGAATGAAAACTGTTTCACAAGCCCAAGAACATTCAGCAAAAATGGTGGCGGGGGGTGTGTGTGTACTTAAATATTCCCTGATGTCTGAGTCCTAAGCACAAGAGAGCAGCCAGGAAGCGCAATGACCTCCAACGGGAAATGAAGATCAAGGAAGTTGGCTTCGGTGCCCAAAAGATAGGGCAGAAAGTAAACAAATGGCATAGATGGGAGAAAGGGGATTTTTCACATTCCTTTGGTTTCAATGAACAACACTCTTGGGCAACAGAGGGAAAAACACCCTCTAAAACATGATTTTTATTTTGACCAGGACCCTATATAAAAACTGTATGCTGGAAGTGCTGAAGATGACTATGTAAACTCCTCTGCAGTGGTGGCACAATTCTGTTTACCTGGCTGAAGACATGTCTGTGGACTGATACATACACACATGCTAACACAGATGCATATTTATAAAATACAGCACAAGCACTGCTTCACTTGCCTATGCATCCAACACCTAACGACCTAGGTTAATCACCTGCCAAAGCCAGGAGCAGCAGAGTTAATGGTGGAGCCTGTGGCTTTCCTCATCTCAAGAATTACACGGGACCTTGGAGTGAGTGAGTGTGTGTGTTTGCACATGTATGCGTGTGGGTGCAGGATGCCACATGGCCCCTTGAGCAAGATGGGCCAGGCTGAGGATGGCTGTGACTCCCAGACGGATGCAGGTGCCTGGGGTTCTGCAGCACTGTGAGCGTGGGTGGGCTACTTAGTGCAACATGGTCATTTAGAGGAGCCAGGCTGGAGCCCCAGGAGCAGCATGTGGGAAGAGGAGTTGCTGGTGCCCCATGCAGGCTGGCTACTGCTGGAGCACGCTCAGCCCCTCGGGGAAGCGTTCTCCAACACGGTGCAGCCCACTCACAGCCAGGCCACCGCTCCCAGGGTCACAAGGAAAGCCCCCCGTCCCACCCTGCAGCAGAACTTGGGTGGCATTTGGGAACATGCTTGCTCATGGTTACTACTGACCTCTGTGGAGTGTGGCCTAGAGTCAGTGCCCCTGTTGCAGATGGGGATACTGCCAGGACTTCAAGGGTCAAACCCAAGGGCCCAGTTTGCGTCTCTGTGGAGCATCACTACCTGCGCTTGCAATGTCACAGAGGCCTGGGAAATGCCACTGTCAGCTGGGAATGGGAACATACAGCAGCTTTCTTCCTCCTGCCTCTCACCAAGAAAATCTGTGCAGAAGTTGATGGCCTGGGACATATGATACTCTTGTGTGGCATCATTCCTGGAGCTGCTCTGCTGAGCTTGAGGGTTTCTTCTCTGAAGGGTGCAATTCATCCAGGGAGTAAGTGATTGGGAGCAGCTTGTGGGATGGGCCCTGCAAAGAAAAGGTAAGAGGTGCAGGGAGGAGGCTTCCCCCTCTTCACAGTATCTCTCCTTTGTGTCAATGGGACTTTCTTCTATGCTTCTCCCCCAGGCAGACCCCCCGAACACACTGCCCAGAGCCAAGGGAAGGGGTGTTTCAGAGGCTGTCTTCCCAGATGAAGTTGAATTTGACTACATAACCCACACTTGAAGCAAGACATAGTTCCTCCCCCTCCTCTCTTACATGCCCCACCTCCAGGGAGATGGAGCCTGACACCCTCTCCCACCCCTCTGTGCGTACAAGAGCAAGAAGGGAGGAAGGAAACTGCAAGACAGAGACAACGGCGCCTTTAAAGCCCTCAGAGTAGAGATGGTTCCTGGTAGGTGATGGGAGTGAAAGGCATTGACAGAGGCTCTGTGAACTCTGAGCCAGGCAGGCGGTGCTGAGCAGGCTGCAGCCGGAGTCTGCTCGGGTGCTTGACCCTCCCTGAAGCGGCTGGTTCCAACTCAAAGAGGTGCTGTGTCGGGGGAGAGTATGGGCAGGTTGATCTTTTGGAAGGGAGCTGCGACAGGGATTAGTCAGCCTTGTCCTTCTTCTTTGCAGTGAAAGGGACTTTGCTGGCGACCGCACTGCCCACAGCTCCAACGCTGCCGGTCACTGCCGAGACGCTGCCCTTCACCAGTCCGACGCCAGCAGCGGGGACGCTGGTAACAGCTGTTTTGGTGAGCTCCAGGCTCTTGCTGCCCACCCAGGCGACTCCTCCCAACGTGGCCCCCACGGCTCCCCGGGTGATACTGAACAGGCCGCCCGTCACTCTCCAGATCACCCCTGCCTGCTGCTGCGGATGGTCCTTGCTGGCATCTGCGGGGAGAGAGAGAAAGGGAAAGTCAGAAGTGTCCACACCAAAGACCTTCTCCCTGGGCACCTCTTCCAGCCCAGGAGGGTTGTCCACCATGGCGCACGCTCCCGTATGCGCAGTGCCTTGCAGCCCCAGACCTCTTGGTGCCTGAAGGAGGAACCAGGGTGATCCCAGGCCCGCAGCATGGCAGGAGAGGACTTTGGGACGGTAGGGAGTCGGAGCAGAATTGCCCATGTGACAGAGAAGGGAAGAAGGTGGCTCAGTTACAGCCCCAAACTCGCAAGCCTCAGTGCTGCAATGTAAAGCAAATCCCACTAACGAGAGATGTAATTGCCCTCCCCTGTGTGTTGACTAACGCCAGTAAATCACACAGACTAATGCCAGCACAGGAGGCCTGCAGACAGCAACAGCTGACGTTTGCATGGCCTGCAGGTCCTCAGAAGCATCTGTTTGGAGGCAGGTCTGCGCTAATGTCAGATGTGGGACTGAGGCACAGCACAGACCTATCCGTGAGAACTGTAATTGAGCTAGCACAGATAGCAAACTGCAGTAAAGATACAGTGACACGGATGTCACCTCAGGTTGTACAAGCCCTCCAGAGATCTCAGCTACGTATTTAATAGTGTTAAGACAGTGCTTAAGTTGCTACACTATGTCATTGCTGGTTTACCTGTGCCAGCTGGATCAAGGCCAGCATGATATACCCACCCAAGCTGCCATCGCACCTGCCCACAACACCGCAGACGTAACGTTGACAGCTCACCACTGCTCAGGAAAAGGTTGACTCTGAACTGCTACTCACGGGATTCAAACCTGACAGCTCTCCTGCTGGCCTCCACACAACCCTCTCCCTTTGCGTCAGCTAACAATGCTGTGCACAGGCAGCAAAGGAGGAGCTGCTCTTTTTGTGGGGTGAGATATTTTGGATACTCTGACTTCTGATTCACTGCCAGTTCCGTGCACAAGATGAGTTACTAATAATTGCAAAAATACAATAAAGCAATCCTGGCAGGAAAAAAAGCAAGTGCCAGCTGAGAATACAGGATCCCTGGAGCAGCAGCAGCCCTTCTAACCCATTACCCACTCAGAAGAGAGGTTGCACAGCACTGATGCAGCAGGGCTTTAGCCCCCTGCTAAATAAGCACCCCATTTCCTGGGAAGTGGGGAAATGACAGGGATAGAAGTGGCTTTCTGAAAGCCTGCATAAAAACATGGTGCAGTCACGCGTCTGCAGAGAGCCCAGGACAGGGGCTGCGTCAGCACCAGCCACTGCCTCAGAGCAGAACACTGCAGAGGCTCCACCAGCACCCCGAGAAAGGAGCCAGTCTGCACCGCACAGCCCTGCGTGCACCGTCCCCCCGGCACGGGCGCGGGGACAGGCCTGGCATCTGTCCCTGGGACCAAAGAGGGAGACACCTCACCTGCAGCATCCCAGTTCAGTGGCCTGGCCAGACTGGGCTGCGCAAATGGACTCGCCGCTAACCTAAGGAGGTGGACGAGCTTAATACAGCTAATGGCAGGTAGGCGAGAGCTGCGGGCTGGATGCACTTTCTTTTTTGAGATCCCAGCCCATCCACCACGCTCTCCAACACTCTCAGCTCCCCCCACCCCCTTTCCCTAAACCTCCTCCCTCCCCAAGAAGAAAGCCCCCTTGTTTATCCAGCCAGGCAGCAGTTCCTTTCCTTGATTGTTAATCGAGGCAGCAGAAAACTCCAGGCAGCAGAAAACTCCACCTGGAAACCCCCCTTTGACGTCTCCACCCACTTTCATTTCCAGGCAGATTAGAGCAAGACTGATGTAGGCAGCGGATTTCCTTTGCCAGCAAGCAAAGACCTTGGGAGTGCCGGGAGGCTGGCCCAACCACTCATCAAGTTGCGGGGCCTTCGCATGCTGCATGCCCTGGTTGATGGAGATGTCAGACCTAGTCAGTCTAAGCAAACATCTTCCGCTCGCTGCAACTAACTTGTCTCATGCCGCGTCTTCGCCACATCTGCTATTCAGTGTACTTCTGCCAAGCTATCCTGTGAATCCTTCAGAGCAGAGACCATCTTCCCGTTGTCCGTGTGCCATGCAACACAGTAAGGTCTCTAAGTGCTGCTCAAAAACAAGCTTTTTTTCTTTTCTTCTTTTCTTTTTTTAAACAAACCAACCAGAAGTCTGACAGAAAACACTCAGCAGCAGCAGGGCAGAGATTTTATCCTTGGAAGCACCAGCTGCCCTGGGGTGCTGGATGCACATGGGTGAAGGGACAACCTGACCTTGCCAAACGGATCAGAGCTGCTGCCTGTGCTACAAGCACTCGGCAGACAGGAGGCCAGTCAGTCACACCGGGGACTCTTGGATTGCACCATGACATCTGTAGGAAAGCAGAATTTTCCAGGCCTCTTAGGAAACAAATTAAGATATCTTCAGATTCAAATTGCTAACTTTTAGGCACTTAACATAGTAGTTTAAATTAGGAGATTTGATTCCTCTGGCTCCATTTCTAGCCAGGGAAGAGAAGGGGGCTTCTTCAGAAGAGGCTGCATACAGTAGCCTAACCTAGTCTAGGCATGAATCTGCATTAGGCGGTGTGACGATCCTTTCCTAGTTATTTTTGTGTTGGATTCTTCTAAAGTTCTGCAGATTTTGGAGTCTTATTGGAGTTGTAGGTTTTTCCCTGAGCTTGACCCAGGCTGTAGAGCTCTCCCTTGGGCAAATCTCAGGACAGTGCCTGTGAGGAGTCAGGTGTTCACCAGCTCTGATGACTTGGAATAAGCCTTAGGTTACACACCTGTCTGATAATCTGGCCAGCAAAACGGAGTGTGAGAGGGGCCAGTACAGAGTTTCTGGTGTAGCCTAAGCAGCCACAGTTCTACCTGGTATATGACATATTGCTTGCCTATTCCTCAGCAGTTTCTCGATGTTGTTTCCCCCCCTGCCCCGTCTCCCTCAATGCTACTGAGACCCCTTGGCTCCATTTCCAGTTCAGCTGCCAGCCTCCCAGCTGCTGCACACAGCTTATCCCATAGAGCCATTCGTGTGTTTTGTCTTCAGACCGAGGGTGGGAAGAACAAAGGGATCCAGAAATTCATGAGACTTTAAAGCAGGACTCTACTCAGCGAAAATCAGACTGGTCCTCCAAACAAACGCTGTCTTCAGAGGATGGCAGGTCTTGCGTTCCCACTCCCCCGTCTGGGGAAGCAGGATCCTTTGCATGCCATCACAGGACTGCAGTGCCGAAGCTCTGGGCATTAAACACCTACCGGTGCGCTCAGCTGCAGAACCAAGAGCTGTATCAATGCGGCAGTAATCTTCCTGGCTCTCCCCAGGTAAACCTGCCTCTGAGGCTACCTGGAACCCCTCTGTAGGAAGATTTAGGCCTCTGCCCCCATTTCAATTGACCTGAGGCCACTAGAGCTGCCCAGCTATCTGAACAACACTAGTGTGAAAATCTCTTAGATGACAGATGGATGCACGTGGATAGCCCAGGGACCAGAGGGAAGGAGGCAACTGCAGATGAGATTGAGAGGAGATGTTACTCACCAGCAAAGAGCTAAAACATATTGGAGAAAGTGTCAGGAAATACTAATGAAGAAAGACAAGGACAAAGGTTCTTCCTGATTAAGCTAGGCAGAGACAACAAAGCTGCAGCACACTGAAGCACCAGTGCTCGCCTGCTGCCTGCACCTGGTCTGCAGCCACTCTCATGGTCCTTGAAACTCCACAGGTAGCAGGGAGGAGGGATGGAGGACCTGGCCCTAGGAGGGTCAGAGGCTGTTCCAGAAGAATTCCAACAACTCCAACACAGAACAGAAGCTGTACCATAAAAAAAACCCAAACCAACTCAGGTTTGAATAGATCTGAAAAGAGAAAGAAATCCCTTGTTGTGACCACAACCACAAGGGGCCATATTCTAACCTGGCAGCAAGCTGAAATAGGTCGTATTCATTCTATACTTCAGATGATGTGTCAAAAGCTTTCTAGCCATCCCCAGTTAGTTTGTCTTCAGGACTGCAATAAACCCCACAGTAAGCTGTCATGTAAGATAAGCATCAGATTTACAGTGCAAATTAGTCTCTCAGACAATGGAGTGAGCTAAGCATTTTGTTGGCACAGAGGAGCCCAGATTAAGGGTGAGACAGACAGCAGAGATGAAATACACAAAATAATCAGAGAGACAGACACACAGCCTGAGCAGGGGAACAATTCTGTTCCCTGGAGCCCGCTGCAGCCCATGCTGCTCATGAAAGCTCTTCACCATCTGCCGAGCCCTTTTTCCTCTCCGTCAATGACCTGGCCTTTTCAAGGGTCCCTTCAGCTTCACTTCACCCCATGTCAGCTTAGAACAGAAGAAGGAGGAGAAAAAGAGATGAATAAAATGCACTCCTGTACGAATACCGACTCTCTGGGCTGGGGTCGGCACCCCACACAACAGGCTCTCCTCCTCGGCCACAGCCCTCCGTGGTCCCCGCTGACGTCTCTCCAGAGCAGGGCTCCTGCCTGCTGGGGCTCCAGACAAAACCGGGTTTTCTCCTCTAATCCTGACAGCATCTATGACTCAGGGCAGAAGTGAGATCAGTTTGTCAGTAATAACAGATACAACTTTCAAAGCTGCCACGGCGACTCCTCAGGGCTTTGCATTGCCTTTATTTGGTGAGAGAAAACGATAGCCTGCGCTGGTGCCCACTACAAATGGCAGAGGCGTTATAATTCCCCTCGGCCCCTGCTGGCAAGTGATACGACAGGCAGGGAGAACTCTCTACTTTAAGAAGGACTTGTACACCTTGCTCTTTCCTACCAACTTACGGAAACAGCCCCAAGCCAGGAAAGCTGTGTCAGGGAGCAGCACGTATGGTTTTGCGTCTTCAGGACACTTCCATCGCGGCTGGGCCCCAGGTGAAGGAGCTGGGCTGGCTCAGAGACCAAAATGTAAACAGTCAATGTCATCAGTCTGTCCCTCAGCAGACGTGAGAGGAAGGGATGAGGTCACTAGTTCAAGCCTGAATTACGCCTCTGGCTG